TTCTTTGATTTGCCGAGTCTTTGTTAAGCTTTAATCAAAGAATACCATACCTCGTTCTGTAGATGAGATTCAAGTTTGAAGAAATACCGGTAAATTGATCGAATTACAGCTCTTCCTCCACTCAACGCGTATTTGACTTTGTTTCAACTCTTCCCGGTAGTGAAGGAGTTAAAGGTGTACATTCCGACCAAAGCTGCTTAGGTCATACTTTCTTGCCTTCCCCTTTACTCCCTTTAAAGCTCTTGACTCTGCTTTTTCTCTCATCCCTTGAAGTCTATGTTTCAACTAGACCATCTACAAGACCCGAGGTAGATTCAGGGTAAGTGTCTGAGGAAGTCTTTGTCTTTTCAGTCGGAGTAGTTGCATTTCCAGCTGCTTGATCGTTCTTAGCTCTGAGTTTTCTTTGGCTCGTCCCTTTGGCTTGTGGGAATGGTCAGCTATCTCTGTCTCTGGTTCGAAGAAGGTCTTCTATCCCGCGTCTTCAGAAGTGGATGTGTTGTTTTCTTTCCTCGTTCTTGTTTTTGCTCTTCCCTTTGAAAGCCCTCTACGGCTGATCGCTTTCTTTCTTCAGTTTCGTAGAATCTGTAGTTTCCTATTGGATAGGTTTTTTCCCTCAGATTACCTCCAAGTTCTTGGCCTCGGAAGGCCTTATGCTTTGCTTTCCCATTCTAGAATTCTCTATTAATATGTTGCTTGCCCATCGTTGTCTTTACGAGCCTTTTCAAATTGAAAATCGACGTCTAAAGATTCAACTCACTCTACCTAACCAAAGCCTAAGCCCAAGCGCAGACCTAGCGCTATCGAAGCAGCCACTTCATCCCTTGCGTAAACCAGACTAAGTAGTCCATTCCGATGTTCTGCCTCATGCCCACTGCAACTACTCGTAGCAAGTCCTACATCCTCGATGCTTTCCGCGCCGAGGAAGCCCTTGTAGCTAACCGGTTTGCTCAACATAAAGAAAAAAGGCGTGTTGTTTAGTATAGACTAGACCTAGCTGAACCTTTTTTTCTAAAATATTAGGTTGTCTTTGTTCTTTTCGGTCAATCAAACATAGAGTTAGTAAGTCCAACAATCAATCAGAGCTGCCGGGCTCAGCGAATGCAGCCTTCACTCATTCTTGGGCCTTCGGGCCCTTAGGGACGACTCCAGTCAAGCAATACAAAGAATGACATTGACCGGCCAGATATCACGTAGAAAAGACAGATCCGACCCCTCACGGGGAGCCTACTCGAAGGAGTAGTTCGCAGAGCACTATTTCAAGGCTATACGCAAAGGAGCTGGGGGCAGCTATCTGGGCTATTTAAAAGGGAAAGTCTTCTTGCGTGGAAAGGGACAGTGCGGGCTACTATTACTAGTAAGGCTGCAAAGACAGCTATCTTCTCCTTGCTTGCTCCCTGGGGTTGCCCCCAAAAGCACCATTCCCACTAGCTACGAGGAAGAAGAGCTACCTAGTCTCAACCAAAAGAAGTTGTGGACTCAGATATGATGCTCGTACAACTATTTCGATTTCCCTCGGGAAGAGACCCCTTCTTGGCCCGGGTATCCTTTTCCCAGTGGAGCAGGAGTTTCGTTCTTGGCTTCGGATATCATTCCTAGTGCTCTCATCAACTAGGCAGCCAATCAACTCCTAAAGTCCTTTCCTATCCCAGCTGATATTTCCTTTACGCTTTCCGTCCAAATCCCTGAGCTATTGAATGTAGCTCCTTGTTCTTCGTTGTTGGTGTCTTATGTCGGGAAGGGCTAGCTCGAATGCTTTACCGAAGCAATAGGGAATAGGGCGCTAGAGCACGGAAACCTAGAGAATAGCTAGCCGATTCGCCAAAATTCTTGAGATTTGCTTTACAAGCACGTTGCACAATGAGATAGGTCTGAACTCCTCAAAGACCTCCGGGTTATCAACCTTAGGGATCAGCTCAAGGAAAGTGGAGTTGACCCATTTGTTGAGCTCTCTCATGTTGCAATGAAGCCTTACAGATTCAGATGATTTAGAGAAGGGCTTCTGGTTGAAAAAGAAGCGTCAGCAACCTGAAGAGATCGGAAAAGGCTAGTCAGGGCGGATCAGCATGCCTCATATATACATCACATCGACGATCGCCTGCTCTAAAGAAGCTATATCAATTCACAACATTTGTGCCAACCTCTTTTGTTTTCCCAACCACAGGCGCTCTCTCTATGGCCTCATCCAAGGGATTACTCCCCATTTATCTTCCCCAGCAAACGACTCCTTCACTACACATCTACGGGTAGCTTCAATGTGCCCATGGGCTAAGGTGGAATTAACGATTCAAATAGGAGGAAAAGGGAGGGCAAATAAACTCCATTGCAACCCAACTCAGAAAAAGGAAGGAAAAAGCTCCTGGACCACTAATCGACGGTTTATTTGCAACTCATGATAGGGCCGGTCAAAGCATCGAACTCTTACAGGTCAGTTATCAAATCCACTGACGAGCAAGAGCTCATGAAACTAACAAGTAGTTGATAAGGCGAGAGCAAGCATTATTCATAAAGTCAAGGTATCAGTTCTTTCTTGAATCGAAGAGTCAGTTTAAAGGAATCAACTTGAACAGAAGCTACTTTCCTGTCCCATCCTCTTTCTATATGCTTGAAGTTCAAACTAAACTATCAGAGGAAGGATGAACTTTAGAGCAACTGCTTCAACTCAGTTGTAAAGGAAGACAAGAAACTATCAGAGAAGAGCAAGCAAAAAGACGGGAAATTTGGTCAATTCCTTCATTTAGTATTGATTTTCCCGCTTCCCACCGGGAAGTTGATAAAACCCGGCAAAAAAGGAGACTTGATGAAATCAGTAATAGAAGAAGTGCTTTCCGATGACTTTTTTGAAAACCCCCGGAAAATGAAATAAAAGCCAGTCATAGTAATAAAATAGCCTTTTACTCCGGAAAATGCCACCCGCCTTTTGGCTAAAGAATCTCTCATTGAATTCACCAGCTCCGGCTGAATGAAGGGGAGGAAGCAAGTTCTCCTCAAGAATGAACAATTTCATAAAGGAGGGTTGTATCAGAATATTCTACGTCTTCAATCCCTAATCTGGCAAGTCTTTTCCAACGGTGTTTACTTCTTTTCATAGTCAATCAGAGTTTTGCTAATGTAGTACATAGCATACTGATGAATCAACCGTGGGTGGAGATCCTAGAACTAATAAGCAAATCAAGATTATTGGTGTATTCGTGGAAAAGATCGATCCTAGCATTGACCCGGCCGGCTTCTCCTTGATGGAGAGATGGCTTGCTTTATGGGCTTGGGGTATGGAGAGGCGATAGAAGCTGTGAGTTTTCCTGACCCTTTGAGTATAGTTGTTAGGGTTCCAAACCCCCACAGCTCTAAGGTGAGAGTTAGTGCTATATGAAGTGGTTGAATTCAAACACTTCTTGAAGGTGGCAATCTAGCTTACATGTTGCATATTGACTCTGTCAGAGTAGAGTAGTCACTAGGAATCTCCACTGCAGCCGCTCAAGCAATGAGACAGTGAAAAAGAAAGAAATAGAAGGTAGTTAGGAGTCGGAACACCCGGCACATTAGAGGATTGGACTTTGGCTTGTTTTCTTAGTCAGAGAGGGCCCATCTATTTTGACTTTATCGTCGTCAACCGATCACTCTCTTTCTCGTAGCGTCTTTCCAATTCAGGACAGACTGCCTCTCCATTCCCGCTACTAACACTAAGTGAAGTCAGACGAGTTAGTAAAAAAGACCCCGTGGCTCTTAACGCGAGGAGAAAGCAACTAAACCTCCACAGGTCACTCACCGGATTAGAAGGAGACAGCGGATGGAATTGGACTACCAAACTATTAATATTAAAAGGGCATCTGATTGAGTTGGAAGATCCTGTTCCTTCTAGGACTCCCCCTCGTTGATATTCAAGTTCGAGGTGTGTCGTCTTCGGATTCCTATCTTGATCCATAGCTCAGTTCCGTAAAGACCTGGGTAAACCCTTTGTATTCGAGGCGAGGGAAAGACCACCTTCAAGAAAGACACACCCCTAGTTACTTTGTTTAGTTGCACTAACTCATTTATCTTAGATGATGGTGAACCGGATAGGGATCCATTCAAGCAGTGGAATCCAATCCGGTTTGAAAGAAGAACTGCAGCTCGATTTGAGATGAAATCTGGCAATAACTCTAGGGCAAGTTCTGTACCAGATAAGAGAGTTTGGAGTTTCTCTCGGAGGACCAGCGTAAGCATTGGAAGACAGAATGCATTCGAGCGTTCAACGAGGGGTTGGCGCAAGTTGATCCACAAGGCAAGATTGGTCGTATTCCCGAAAAGGACATCGTAGACGCTTTGTGTGGGGGCATCCGGATCGGGTATTCATAATCTGGAGTAAAAGGATTCGAACCTTTGCATGCCGGTACCAAAAACCGATGCCTTACCACTTGGCTATACTCCATAGGCCTGTTTTGGCCGGTAGGAACGTGGATGGGGGGAAGGGAGAAGGAGGGCTCGAAGAAGGAGCCGTGCAAGGACGCGGGGATATAGCGACGGTTCTCCCTTTAGGACCGACGTAAACAAGCTCGCGACTCTAATAGAAAGAAAGGGTAAGCTCTCTATTTGCTTGCAATGCTATGCCTATCAAAGAAAGTAGGCGAAGGCTTCCTTAGCGGCCAACTACTCGTTACGCTGTTCGACTTCACGACTTAATGTTTCATGGGGCTCCCCGTCCACCGAAAGTCGGTAACCTTCGTCACCGTCGCTCTATTCCAAATCCCGCAACCAACCCTTTATTATGATTATGTCTTTCTTTCTTCAGGGCTTGCGGTTCATTACACCAAAAGCTTTCAGTGAACTATTGGAAGCTATCGCGAGAGTACCAAATGCTGACGGTGACGCTAGAATATGAGAATAGAACCCCCGGGAAACGACGTTCCGTTCCCTTTGTAAAGTCAAATAGGCATATAGGCATGTTGATAACTAATTCGAGTTGACATGAAATGGATCACGGAAGAAGACGTATCTGATGAATGAATGATTCAATTCCCTCCCAC